GGACTAGCCTGTACTTGTAGTGAGGAGCCATCAGCTTAAGGCTTTGGCTCTAGCAAGAGAAAGGAAAACCTGTCCTTGGGATATTCTACCGTTTTCCCACTCCAGCAAGCCCCTTTCCTAGGTGCCTCTTCTTCACTATACAACACAGTGCTATCCATTATGGAAATGTTCAGTTAATGGGGCACACAGTACCTCAGGATCCATCCACGGAAGGTGGAGACTAACATTCACTTGAAACTGCAGTGGAAATTATCAAGTTATACAGTGCACTCTGAGCTGGTTTTGGTCACAATACTACAGCTGTTCCTGAGAAAAACGTCAGAAGGTACTTGTGACCACAGGTAGGTAAGACCTTTGTCATCAGCCACTCATGAGGAAACATGAGTGTGTCCAAAAGGACATTGTCTAAAATAAGGCAGTGTGTTGGCCTTGGCTGTTGAGTCATCGGTATCACTTCCTGCAGCCCCTGCGTTTGCTCCGGGTATTTCTCAAGGGAGCACTGACTTTGCCTCCTCTTTCTGATTCTTCTCGAATGATTAAGATCACAGCTCGGGAGCAGTAATGATGAATACGTCCTTGATTCAGAGGAATGTGTGCTCCTTTTAGCACAAGTGTGCTAAATCTTCCATGAGATGCCTGCCTGATTAGTTTTTATCTTGACACGTCACGGCTCCACTGATTTGAAAACTTCAGAGTCTCTAGTTGTAAAGCAGAGAATTCTGCTTCATGGGGGGGAATCTGTCCACCTGAGAGCTGGGTCAGTGGCTCCTGCTGCCACTCCTGAAAGCTGCTGCACAGACATCTCTCTTGCCTTTTCTTTATTTTAATGTTTGATAAGAAGTTTCTTTAATCACTCGAAATACTGTGTGGAACTTCTGCTCTCCAGCAGAGACAGATTTCTACCAGGTTTCAGTGACAGACCCTTCCCAGCTGCATGACGTTTGCTGCATTTGTACAAAAGCACCCCTTATGGAAAGAAAAAAAAAACAACAAAAACTAGTTCACCTCTGAGTTTCTTTCCTTAAATATTGTTGCAAAATTTCTGACGTCAAACAATGAGACACAAATTACCCTGTGAACTGTTAACATATGCCTGTTGCCTGTTTACATATGATATCTTATAGCCAAAACAGATTAAGCTTTGAAGGTTTAACTGCTGTTGAGTTTCCCCTTCTGTGAATCACACAGATCAGCTTATTCATCACGACACTTATTTTTATTCTTTAACTCTTTAAAGCTACTTCTGTCCAGCGGCGACTTTATGGGGGACATGGGAACAGGGAGGTCACAACTACATAGCAAATCCCAGATTTGCAAATGAAAAAAGCAAATTGCTGCCAGTAACTGCAGCCACCCCAATGGATCAGCAGCGGGTTATAACTTCCCCCAGGTCCCTCGACAGGCACAGAAGCCTTGCCCCATCGCCAGGGCTGGTCCATCCTTCCACCTGGTGAAGTGCCAGCTGCCATTCACACTGATGGCCAGGCCAGTAATATTTCAATTTCAGAAGGGAAATTACTTGTAAGAACCAACAAGAGAGAACCAGCCCTGAAAACCCAGCAGGATAGCTCAAATTCCAGGTTCAGAGAAAAAAAATTAATGCACTCATCAGCATACTAGGATTCCTTGGATGTTATAGTTTAAATTCAGAAACGCCAAATGTTTTGGGGAGAACTTCATTGATTTCAGTAAATACAAGCAGTTTTCTCTAGCAGCTGAATCTATGCGGTGCATCACTGATTTTGATGGGACTCAAGTGCTCTTGTCAGCAATCCCAACCTAAGTGCATGAGTGTTTGTCTTTTTCTGGATTATTTCTGTGGCCGTACTCGAGAAGAGGTACCTCTGATGAGAAAAGAAAGAAACCTACCTCTATTTAAATACAAATGCCTCTTCTCCTCTGTGATTGTTCCCAAAGCTAAGCAGGTAAGTGCTGCCAAAAATCAGCCCGTTTCCTTCAGCTGAAGACCCAGAAGGATCTCAGAGTCAAGGCTGCCCCTGTGCTTGTGCTCAGGCTCTGACTCACTGATCTGGGCCAGCACAGGAGGGAAGGAAGATGGTTTATTTTGAGGCAGGAAGGTAAGCATTCAAAAAGTACCTTTCCACTCAGAGGAGCAATAAGGGAGTGCTTGACTGTTTGTTCTCTGCTCGTTTAAAAGCCTTGCTCCAGCTTTGTTTGTTTTTTCCTCCCAGCTGCACCACCTGAAGCGGGCGATTCACCTTATCACCTGTGGATCAGCTCAGGCAGAGACAGACCCAGCGCAGCTGCCACCGGGGCCACCAGCCACTGATAATGGCTCAAGGCTCTCTCTGTAAGGCGGGACAACAAAGGTGTCACCAAGACAGCAATATCTCCCGTGGAGCTGAGCATTACTCACCGGGACACGGGGGTAACGACCGCACCGGGAACTGCAGCTACGGAAGGGCACACGGGTACAAACACCGCACGCAGCAACCCCAACCTGCTGCCACCAGCCTGTCGGCAGGAATTAATGTGGGTATCAGTTAGTGTCTGTAACGCCGTGGCCCAGGTGGCCAAGAAAGCCACCAGCATCCTGGCCTGTGTCAGGAACAGCGTGGCAAGTAGGGCCCGAGAGGTGATTGTCCCCCTGTACTCGGCACTGGTGAGGCCTCACCTTGAGTACTGTGTCCAGTTTTGGGCCCCCCACCATAAAAAAGACATTGAGGTGCTGGAGCCGGTCCAGAGAAGGGCAACAAAGACGGTGACGGGTCTGGAGCACAAGTCTTATGAGGAGAGGCTGAGGGAACTGGGGTTTTTCAGCCTGGAGAAGAGGAGGCTGAGGGGAGACCTTATTGCTCTCTACAACTACCTGAAAGGAGGGTGTAGAGAGATGGGGGTCGGTCTCTTTTCTCAAGTCACAGGCGACAGGACAAGAGGAAATGGCCTCAAGTTGTGCCAGGGTAGGTTCAGGCTGGATATTAGGAAAAATTTTTTCACTGAAAGGGTTCTCAGCCATTGGACTGGGCTGTCCAGGGAGGTGGTTGAGGCACCATCCCTGGAGGTGTTCAAAAGACGGGTTGATGAAGTGCTGGGAGGTATGGTTTAGTGATGATGCTCCTTGTTTGTTGTGTGGGTGTCTATTTTTGTCAGTGAGGTTGACGGTTGGACAAGATGATCTTTAAGGTCCCTTCCAACCTAGAAGATTCTGTGATTCTGTGATTCTGTGTGTTACCAGAAGGTACGCTCAGCCATCAGCTCATCCTGTGTGATCTCAACTGGAGGTGGGACACTGCAGCCATGCAAAATGTGTGTCCGTCCTCCCACCTGAAAACTGGGGAGAGTGACAGCCACTGGGCATCCAATGAGATCCACGTTAGAGGACAAAGTTAACACACCTCTGTCAGAAACTGCAGAGATTGTTTACCTAATGCACATTGCTGTGTGCTCTGCTTATAAATGGTGCTGGAGTACGTTTAACCACAAATCTAAAGATGAAACAAAAATCTATGAGCAGTTTAGGACATTCCCTCCCCTCTCCTTTTTTTTTTTTTTTGAGAAATCCTATAGTTAACATCCTTTCTTGTGTTATTTACCTGAAAATCAGTGACCCATCTTAAAAACTACAGGTTTGAGACCTGAGGTGTCTTAAAAGATACCTGATTTTTACACATATAAATACAAACCAGTACACACTGCTCAACCGCCCCCAGTCTCTTCCAGCTATTCCAGCCAGGCTTCTGTGGACAGAAGCACTCGTGACCACTGCTCAGTTTTGAAAAGATGGACCTTTGGGGTTAGACCACATTATGAAAATTACCCGACTAATTCCCACGAAGTGTTTTGAACACAAAAGCTCAGTGCAAATAATAAGGGTTCGGTTTCCTTTTTCAGCTATGAAATCAGCCTGCAGATTAATATTCTTCAATTACAAAATAACAGTTTCAGTTTGAAGTGGTTTGCACTCTTAAGTGCAATTGGGGTTAATAATGGTCTGCAAAAGGAAAGCTGTCAGCAAACAGCAACCCAGAGTGAAAAGCTTAGCATTTAGGTACCTCAGCTACATTTTACTCTAAATGTCAGATTGCAAATTCAGAAAAATGACCTCGGAAAATACCATCCAACCCGCTAAGGATCCCAAAGCTCAAAGAAACCTGTATTTTCTGTTTCATATATGCCAAGAGATCATTGCCACCTGACCACCAATGAAGCTCCTTTTACCTATGGCTATTTCTAATCCATATACGTAGTGCCTCGTCTGTTAGATGTGTTCACATCAATTTACAGAATCACAGAATCTTCTAGGTTGGAAGGGACCTTAAAGATCGTCCAACCATCTACCTAATTTTGACAAAAACAGACACCCGAACAACAAACAAAAAGCAACAATTTAGGTAATAAATAAAAATAAAAAGCAACAATTTAGGTAATAAATACGGAGTGTCACAAAGTGTAAGCTCTTTTTTGGTGCTGTGCCCAAATGCTAAGATATCCGAAGCTCATATAAAATGAGATGAACTGCTTTTCAGTTCAAGGCATGGGGTTAAAATGTATTTGTATTATCTACAAACTAGTTATTGGGAAAAAAAAAAGTAAATAATTGTAGTCTCCTAACCTACAGTATTAAGGTAAAGCCTTCTGGGACTTCCTAATGCAAAAAGCCTGAATTAAAAGCTTCTGAATCTCAAAAGAAAAGCCTAAGTTAGGGCAGAGTGCTCAATAATTATAAGAACGAGGCCAAGCTCCTCAAAGGTGAGTGGTAATTCTGTGTGTCCAGACACAGGGTACAGCTGTGCAGCCCCTTCCTGAAAATTAAGTTCTATTGAAGTTTCTTGAGGTTTGTATAAAACAGGGACATGCTCCCAAGCAAGGGACACGACCTGGGTAAATCCTTGGCCAAAGTGCCCGACTCCGAGTACTCCCAGCAGTTACTGGGACAGCAGCAGCACGACCTGCAACACTGAGCAAAGCACTCACTGTTACATACTGGCAGAATCTGCATCTCTAATATGCAGAAAAAATTAGCACACTGACAAGGAAAGTTAAATGCTGCAAAACGTGTTTTATTTATCAAATGCAAGATTTAGAATTTCAGGAAGGTTAAAAAAAACAAGTTAAACTCGAATTCCCCATATTTGCCAGTTTAAAAAATGCTTTCAGTTACAGCTGAGACCTTCAACTTTGCCTATAAATGAAACACTTTAAATAACAATCAGTTACACAACCTACTCACAATCAGCAGCTTATCTCACAAGACCTCTAACAACAAATTTTCTCTGTGGCAGCAGAGTATCCAGCTGACTTCTCCAGTGTTGACCAGCTTTGTTTATTCTGACTGTCAATCGCTCTTTTAAGTGCTTCATCTGGCACAAGATCTGATTCTTTTACATCCGCATGGCTACAGCCAATTTTAGGGCATCTGTTAAAAAGAAAAGAGAGACTCCATTAAATCGGAAGAATTGCATTTGTCAGACATAGGCTTTTACACAACATCTGCTGGTTTATTGTATTTATCTGGGATTCTCTCTCTCTCTGTCAGTTCCTCGTTACCTCTTTTCCTCTCCACCGGCTCTCTGTGGGGAAAAATAAATACATTTATCTAAAGTGGTGGGAATCAACAGCTGAGGGAAGGAAGGAACCCAGGGAGAGACGGAGCCTCTCACCTGGAAGACACCAGGACACCTTCCTGCCTCACACACACACGCCGCCTGCGGCAGTAACGACGCCAGCATTGCATGGACACCTCCTGCTGCTGCTTTCTCTCTAGTTCTCTCCAAACTGCAGATAACTACCCCTTATCCATCTGCAAGGGAGAAGTATAACCTTCACTGATAGATAAATAAAGAAATTAATTTCAAGGGAAATAGAGAAAAGAGAATGAGATTAGCAGAGGCTGACAGGTGAATCACTGAACTACCCAGGTGGTGTTAAAATTTACCTGGCCTTTTATGGACTGAGAAATCACAGGAAGAAGAGATGGGGTCAAATCAACAGCCTCTAAATGATAACCAAATACAAAATGTCTTACAACTACTTGAAACAGCCAGATAAAGACAGGAGGGTGAAAGATATTCAGGGACCAAAAGTCATTTTCCTCTGGCAGCAGCCCTGACACGCACAGGTGGTACCTCTAGTTAGAAATAACCCTTTTCCTGCATTTTTCCTCTATTAGGAGTAACTTTTGTCTGAGGCACTAAACTTATTTACACTCAATACTCGTAGCTTTTACTCCAGATTTGTCCATGGCTTACTGTGTTTGTCATGCCTAAGTCACTTAATTACTCTGTGCCTCAGTTTTCCCATTTATCACCTTATTAGAGCAATAGCTTGCCAGATTAATGAATAACAAGAGCTCAGAAAGCTTCCCATGTTTCCTGTAAGCATGAAGCATTAGTAGGTCCTTCCAGGCAGTGGGAAACAGTGAGCAAACCAAGACACGTAAGAGTTGCCTAGAGGAGTGTACAGCGAGTCTATGGGCACACAACCAGTAGCTGTGCGTGTGCCAGCCACTGCCCAGTGCACCAACGGGACCCCCTGGGCTCAAACTGGAAAGTCCCTGTGAGGAACCAACCACTTCAGTAACTCCAGAGTGAGCCACAGCTTTGGTTTCAGAGGCAGGATGGAGAGGAGGCCCCTAAAAACCACGGCTCTGCTCCCTCACGATACCTGCTTCCACCTGAATACTGCTGGCAGGAGCGTGGTCAACTGGGAGCACCACCAGCAGACTATGGTTTTACAAAACTGACTGCATTTTCAGGAGAAAGGTTAAAATGACAGCAGGTCAGTGAGACTGGGCAGAGAAAACCAAGCAGCTTTTCCTAACTCAGTTGGGGAGAAGCCGAGTTATCGCTGTGCTTCTGCCTTTCTCACGTGCTGGAATAACCGCTGTGAAAACGGTGAGACAGCAAGATAACAGCTCCAAATTAACAACTACCAGGATTCAGATTGCACAAACAACTTCAGTTGGGGTATAAGATGGCTTTTCAAGCTAAATGTTGTACAGCTTCCATTATTTTTTTTACTCTGTATTTTCTGTCTTTAATTTCTTAAAAGGTAAAATAAAAACTCAACCATGTGCCCCTATTAGCTTTTCAGCAGTGCTGAAGCTTTTGATTCACCACAACAGCCCCTACTACCATGACATTTTCCTGATGGATTTAACAACACAGAGAATTATTTAGATATGAACGCCCTAAATTCAGTTCCGTAACTGAAGGTATTTTTGCCGTGGTTTGGAGCTGTTGAGCACATGCTTCCCCTAGCCTGTCCCTGTCCTCAAGAAGGACCACTTTCTTCTCCCCAACTTGTGAGCTAGTTCCCAACTCCCGTTCATTTTTCCAGCCAAGTTTCTGTCCATCCATAGTGCTGGTTTTGTTGTCATTCCCCGTATATTGCACCCACTCCACTTTTTCTCCCTAGACCCCACAGCACAGGGAAGGTACTTCTGTCTCATTCTTCGTGCTGTCTTGACACTAAGGCCATGGTTGGACTTCTCAGCTGATGCTTAATTTCACAACTGTGCTTTCCCATAGCCAGGGAGGAGTGTGGAATAACAAAGTCCCACTCCACCTGGGTGTCCCCACGGTGAAGTATGAAGAGTTTAACAGAAATGCAGGAGCAATGGAGGGAGGGAGGGAGGAAGGAAGCTGCCTGTGGCATTATCTTTGGGTAAACCAGGTCGCTGGTCTCTGACAGACCTTCCTGACCATGGGCAAACTCCACATTTATTGAAAAAATCCTCAACTGCTAAGTTTCCATGAGGTCATTGACCCTGAAGCATGAAGCTGTAGCATACATGTAAAAACAAACGTGAAATTATTCATGAAATAATGTGTCATCTAAACTTGCTCTAAAAAGTTTGAGCTTTTGGGGTTTTTTTGATTCCATGTTTAACAATTCAACTCTTACATATTTTCATTTAAAAAAAATATGTCCTGTGTGGGAAGTGGCAGGCTGCTTTGACGATATACAGTAATAATTATTTAATTGCATCATAGTAGGAACTGCATAATCATGCCTGATCATTCTAAAGCCCTGTACTACCTAAAAAGTTGTGTTTTAATGTCTCATTTTAACTCTCATTTATGTGTTTTAATATTTCTCAGCTGTACTGGAATGTAACTGCAAAAGAGGGTGCAGAGAGGACATGTTTATTTTTTTGTTCTTTAACTTCAGGGCTTGCTGAACAAGCAGTGAAACAAAACAAGCAACTAAATTTTAGGAAGCTGAAGTTTTTCTTTGTTTATCGTGGCTATACAAAATCTCTTTGCTTCTGTGGTGCAGGTACCACGAGTGGCTGTGACTTCCTGAATATTTCCTTACACATTGTTTTCATTAAAAAGAAAAGCTCCTTCACGTGCCCAGCACTAATGAGGAGACTGTGACTTGGGCAGACACTGAAGTATTACTTCCTGTAGCCTTGCCAATCCAAATACATTTCCTAGAACAAGTGGAGTAAAATTCCACTTACACAGCAAAGCAAATAGCTTTTCCACACATTCTCGTTAGCTTACCGGACTTTTTTCTTCTGCTGCTTTCGAGTCTGGATAATTTTTATAATGGCATCCTCTTCATAAGTATGTCCACAGACTTTGTTTCGAACTGGCCTCTTCATTTCCACCTGTAATCAATAAGGTTTGATTTAAAGGCAATGATAATGCACATGAAAATGCTTCATATGAGATTTTATGTAAAAGAGCAGGAAGTGTGTTTGCTGTTCATACATGACATTCCCCTCAAATTACGGGGTCAGGTCCTGCATGGTGAACTACGTTCCTACTTACGTGGAGTTTTTCCCAAGAAATATTTCTCTTCTCTGATAATGCTTGTAATTTCTACTGCCTGATTTTTAACAACTATTGCAGATTTGTAATAAACAATCCAATGAAGAATATGAAATAACTATTTCCCAATCGATTACCGCAGCGGTGATAGCATACCTGTGTAATGGGACAAATAAAGTTCATCTGACTCTGAGTCACAGCTATATCTTCATCGATTTGTTCAATGGCCTCATTATCATTATCTGATTGGGGACAAACTATAATAGGAAACAAGAAAATTTTCATGTAATATTTAATATAGATAACAAATACTTAAAATAAACAAATAAAATCCAACATTTGCCAAGCGTTATCTCACAATGCTATCCAAGATGCCATAACACATTTCTGTACCACTTCCTGAATAAGATGCTGCAAAAAATACTGTATTACAGTCTGTGTTAGAAAATGTGGATTTTAAAATGGTAACCACTTGTTCTGTGTGTGGCTATTTATAACCAATGCTAGAAGGGAGGGCTGGGAGGGAAAGCGAGCTGGCCTGAAGAAATGCAAAGCCTTTGGTATTCTCTGATCATGTTCACCAAAAACCAGTAACGTGCAGATGAGTCCCCAAAATCTAACACAGGATGAGGTGGAGCTCTGCAGATTTGGCAGCCCTATCCTCAAGATCAGTTTGTGTCTGAATGTCACAAACAGGCTTGCTCTACAGCCCGTACGCACAGTATATACTTGAAAAGGAATTTGTACTATTTATCATCTTGTGTAATTTGTAAAGTGACGCCGTTGTATTTTAACAAGACTGTAATTAGTGAAAAACAAAAGCCAAGAAAGTGTTATTTGAGATGGACAATAGTAACATTATTGAAGTGACTTAAGGAGGAGGTACAGAATGAAATACTGAAATCTCCCAGAAAACACCCAATGGCCCAATGCCAGGGGAGGAGGAGCAGACAGACAAGAAGAAATCCACCTTGAGCTGGAGAAGATGCAGGTCCCCACCTCTACAAGGTGTACGCAACTCTGCTTACCCAGGGGCACGCCAGCCAAGGGTTCCATGTAGAAACTAATTAACCAGGGTCAAAATCTGAGACACAGGAGCGGCTAAAGAGGAGATACTTTGCTAAGTATAACCTTAATAAATGTATACATGTTATTTTATCTTTACCTAACTTTGCTCTGTTATTGTAAATCTAGGCTTTTAGCTGATTGCATTTCTTTATCTTTAAGACTTATCATGTAATCACAACAAACTTAATGCCTGCCATAACTTTCCATTCCTTTGGGGTAGTTCTGCAATGTTTTTGCAGCAGTGCCCCGGGGCGCAGTCCTCAAGGTGTCCCAAGCTGAACGGAACATTCTTCTCCCTAGCTCCACAAGGTAGCTTGCAAGGTAGCAACAGGGGGTTCGGAGAGGACAAAATGCTTCAGTGGTCTGTGTGGGCTTTGAGTGCCAAGGAGCAGTGAGAAACACAGGTGAACACGGAGGGTTTAGAGCTACCTCATGATTTGCCTTCTACGAAGTCTCAGCGGTGGTTCCCTTTGCTCCTATTGCTCACCATCAGCCAATCTTTGCATCTTTGCAGCCAGCCTTTCATATCTGTTAAGGACCAGTGTTTCCTAACTCAGGGTCAGTCCTGCGTGCTTGTACCATGCCATCACCTTCCGGGTGGTAAGAGCAGACACGGCTCTGGGAGCAATCACAGCCTCTCACACCCAGCCTCAGCTGAGCTCGCTGCACAGCTCTGGTGGAGCTACTCTTGGCATTGGTCCTGCAGCCACCGCTCCGGCACGACGGTTTGATTTCCATATTCTTCCTTCCTCCTTAACACAGCGCACCCTTCTCTACCTATACCAAGAGTTTTCCAAGCAGTCAGGAACGTTTCTGACCCAGGTTCTCCTGCAAATACCCAGGCAATACTCAGGGTATCAAAACATCAAGGGTATTTCTGTTTCTACTACTAAAACCCCACTCGGTCAATAGGGTGTGAATGGAGGGGGAAAAGGAGCTCAAATGTCCAATGTCAATAATCATTTTAAGGCTTTAATCTCCAAGAACATTAACATATCTTTATCACATACTGACCCTCTAACAAAAGTTACTTGCAAATCAGCGGGCAAAAGTGGGCACAAATTAACTGCAAATAAACTGCAATAGAGATCGGAAAAAAACTTGCACCAGTTACCAGTTTTCAGAGAAGAAAACTTGTCACATACTACTCTTATTGCTCAGATATAAGGTTTATTCTATCATGAACACATAGTATTTTGAAGAAAATACATCTTTGGGGTGAAAAAAGTGTTGTTTTTTTTTTTAAATGAAGCTTTTGAAATGCAAATCAATGGGTGAAATCCCACTGAGACAGCAGGGCAATATTGCAAACAATATTGCAAATACTGGTAAGTGCCAGCTTCTGCATGGGCTGCTTTATTTAAATACCATACTGATTTTTTTTCCTGCGAGTAATGCCAACAAAGAACAAGAGATTCAGAACATCCTTATATTCATGTATCTGCAAATTTTTATATACTGCAGCTCTAATCCTTCCTGCTGAAAACATCTGGAAACTCATATTTTTCTATGTTGTACTTTGATTCCACTCATGAACTTGGCACATAGTTCCAGTGTACCAGCGCATCACGTTGGGCAAGGAAGCAGCAATACTAGCAGGATCTAGGACAGGTGACTGTTTACAAAGGATATAGTTTTTGTATCAATATGTAGATGCCAAGGAAGGTGGGTAAATTTTTAAAATGGGGACTTGTGCCTTTGACTTTATTTTTAAAGCTCAGTGCTCCAAGTTAGGCACGTAAATAGCCTCTTCTGGAAGAGTGTTCACCCTGAGCAGCACTTTCTGACTTGGTTAAAGAGTCACCACTTCCCTCATCACTTGTGTGTGCTTCCCCAGGCACTGACACCAGAATTTAGGAGATGATGTTGAAGCCTCCAAGTTCAAAAATATGAGCCCAAGGTTGGGCGCTGGTGCCTGAGTCTCCCCTGAAGGCCTCAGGTCCCTGAATTCTGTGAGGTAAATCACAGGCTGGGTTTACCTCTTTCTTCTACTGGCTTTGGAGGTGATTTAGATGCCTCATAGTTGAAATTCCACGAGGGGAGACCCACTCCTTGTAGGTGGGATACATTAATCTTCCTGAATTCAAATCATCCTCTTGCTGCAAGTTTATCTGCAACACTTCAGGCTGCACTTCATTTGCAATGATTTTGTATACAGGCTACCAGAGCGGAGCCCTGGTTTCAAGAGGTTATCGCAGGACAAGTGAATAATTATTTAAACTATTTCCTTTTCATAAGCAGCTAATATTTTTAATAATAAATATGCAAGACTGGGATGATGCAAGTGATACCTCAAACATGTCAATAGCAAATTAGCATAAATCAGATAAACCACCCACAGATTTGTTGTTATTGCTTGATGTTCTAGATTACAGGAGGAGAGAGGAAAATAACTTTTTTCAATTACAGTGAATTTTGCAGAGGTTATGCAAAACACACATGTCCTGAACAGGTCAGAAAGATGCTCTGCACTGTAAATCTATACCTGTAAACTTGTATCAGAACAGGTTTTTCTTAACGTCAAAGGGATTTTTTACCAAATGAAAGTCTGGAGGATGTAACTTGCAAGTCTGACTATTCCACAGAAAGAAGAAATAAAACCACTGGGTCATGCATATTTCAGCCAAGTCAGGTTACATTTTTGTAAAATTGAGTTTTCCTTGCAAATGAAAACCAGATGCAGAAAACACTAAGTTATTGTTCCTGAAATTCAGATGTTGCCATAAGTAACAGAAGTACATCCATCTATTTTGGTAGTCTGAGAGATTACATTTTAAGAGCCTTAAGAGTTTCTAGGTCTCCATTCCAGGCAATTGAAACCTGTTATGAGTATTACTAACACATTTTCTATCTAGCTATCTCAGCAATTATGTTTACAGCTAATTAGTGCCCACTGTTGTAATAAAACTGCATTCTCATAAAGGTATCTATTTTTGGTAACACATAGTAATGAATTTTGCAACGGCCAACTGTTTTTTACTTATTCAATTTTAATTAAAAGCGGGTAGTACTTTATATCTCTATCACTTTCATCTCTTGATAAAAACATGACTAATATGCCTTAGCTTGGTTTTTTACCTACTCTGCTGAGAGAGACTGAGAACTTTTAAGCCAACTTTTAAAAGTAAGAAAACCATAGTGCGGAGACATATTAACTGCTATATTGTGAACAAAATTAAGCATGGATAGTACACGTATCAAAAAAGCATTAGAGGAAAGACCTCTCCGTTGTCATTGACACTTCTATGACAGACAGACTGCTGCCTGCCCACTGCTTCCAGTGCCAACAGCCTCTTCTCCCCAATTCCTGTTCCTCTATAGTGGTGAAGTTTGCCTTAACCTGGCCTTGAGTGCTCACGTGTTGCAATGTAAACTTAATGGATTTCTTTCCTTTTGTGCTGCTCTCTTCTGCCTCTTCACCTGCCATCAGTCAAAAGCTAATCCCAGAAACCAAAGGGTAACGTTAAGCATGGAGGATTGAGTCTTTGTGAGCCCGAGCCACCAGACAGACAAGGTCTTGGCTCCCAAGAGGGTCTATTGTCCTGCTGACTCTTTAGAAATAACAGCAACTCAGCCAGGCTGGGAAAAATCCTATCTCGGTGAGCTCCAAGAAAAACATGAATGTTATGAGGGCAAGTCAAATGCCAAGTGTTCCTGCCAGCAGGACACAGAAAATAACGAAAGCTGGGGGAGGTGAAGGACATCATCACATCCAAGAGCTGCATTCTAAGAGTCCAAGGGAGTCTGGGGCACTGCTAACGTGGGGTGAGGAAGGTCCAAGGAGAAGTCTAAAGGAGGGAATGAGCCCAGACACTGCTTACCACCAAACACACCACTGAGACCACCATGGTTAGTGCTTACAAGCGGGTCAGCATGCCCATTAGTGCTCCGAATTCGGGCTAGACTTCAGATTTGGAGAAGTAGACCAGAACAAGTGTCCAGTGTCCTGGCCCAGGGACGGACCCACAGTAAATGCTGCAGGAGGAGTGAAAGAAGAGGGGAAGCACAGAGTAATACCTTCCTGGCAAACTCTCCCAGACTCTAGCAATTTGTGGCCAAGGACTTCCTGAGTCAGAGGTAATATCTTTGTACTTAATAAGCTCTGAAGTTTTCCTCCAATGAATCTGTCTAAACTTGGAGATGGCAATTTGGGCCTGGACTTTTCAGCTTGATTAGAGACAGTTATCTT